ACAAATACTCACCATGCCCAGGGAGACAACAACCCCGCGTCCCTCTCCTGGCATTAGGAAGTGTGCGGGGAAGGAGGGGCATGCACTTCCTAAGCCGGGAGAGGGACACGCACCGGCGCTGCCAGGCGCATGGGAAAAGAGGCCTCATACGGAGAGCATGCTCCCTGCACGAGGGCTCTTCCCCCGCACGCTTGGCAATGCCGGCGCGGGTTCCTCCCTCGGTATTAGCAAGAGTGCGGGGTAAGAGGGGTGATGCAGGCTCTGCATCGCGCCTCCTTCCCCGCACACTTCCTAAAGCCGGGAGAGGGACGCACGTCAGCATTTTTGTCTCCCATGGCCTGCAAAGAGGAGGAGAGGAAGACAACGCATGTGTGCGCTCACTTGTGAGGGAGGATGAGCTGCCTCGTTCGGGGCAAGGATGTCTCAAGAGCTCCTCAAGAGCACCCCCCTCCCCGGGGAAGCTCCCCCTATGCAAAACTGTAGAGAACGTGAGACAGGAGTGGGAGCTTTCTGCTCCACTCCCGTCCCTTCCAGCAGACATTGTGAGGGGGCGGGGCCAACCGGGGCACCATCACGACCCCCAGAAAATGGCCCAGTGACCCCCCTGGGGGTTGCGCCTCCCAGGTTGAGAACCGCTGCTATATATGTTTAAGCATCTACGGGATTGTATCCAAAGCCTTAGTGGTTTCAACAGAGGTTATAATAATATTCTTAAATGCCAAACATTAAAACACATGAGTATGAGATGCACATCTTTGTACTGATTCCTTTGTATAAACCAAAGGACAGATCAGTTTCTAGCCACGCATTAGGACTCCAGTACAACTTAAACAAATTGTGCACTCATGCCACTGAAATCAAATTTCACAAGTGGCTTGTGATTTCACTGCCACATTGAAGATCAGTGAAACTTAAGCATAATTCATGTTCAGTATTTTTTGAACTTAGATGTTAACAGAAAAATGTAGGCTATTCTTTTCATTAGAGCATGTAGACTAGTTTATACATGAAAAAGTGGTAATGTTTCAACTAAGACTGAAAGAAAGGCATGTATTGTATGAATAAAAGAACATATCTTCAAACATAACTTCAATTAAAACAATTAAAACTCTTCAGATGACTTTATGCCATTAATAAATACAAAAGTAACGGTGAATTCAAGAAAATGACTTGCATCTAAGAAAAGAAAAATGTATTTACATTTTGTGCACATATGCATTCATGTTTCTTCTATATAATGTTATATGTGCAAACACATTTATTCTTTACAAAAGTTAAATTTTGTATTTTGCTAAAAGTGTTTTAAGGTTCACTAGAACTGATGTATTTTACACATACAAGTTCTGTATTCTTTCCCAATTACATAGTTTACACATCCAGTTTAGTCTCATTTATCCAACATAAATGGGCCAGCAGAACGTTGGATAAGCAAAATGTTGGATAATATGGAGGGATTAAGGAAAAGCCTGCAACCTCCTTCCTCCACCCCCAAAGTTACAACTTTATTTGTGGTTTATCCAGATTGATTGAAATATTCCAAATTTTGTTCCTTTTCCTTCCAGTTTTATAGTAGGTTAAAATAAACTAATTTTATACTAGAATAAACATAAAATATATGGCTCTCAAATATAAACTGGAAATAACAGGGATAAAATCTGGAGTGTTCTGTCTTTTTAATTAGTCTGGATGTGCCCAATGACTCAATATTTGTAATTACTTAGTTCCTTCACTCACTGCCTCTCCAGATCACACAGTATGTGCCAGCTTGTATCATATTTTATCAAAAAAAAAAACAACAACCACATGTTATGATACTTGAGTAAGCATTTTCAGTGCTCTTTTGGGAATGAAAAGGGGTGTCTAAGAATATTACAAAGTTGGTATAAATAAACTGTTTGCATACTGAGAATAACAAAAAATTATATTCAGTTTGCAAAGTAACATTTATTAAACCACTATGTCTCAGCCTCAAGCTTTTCACTCAAATCTGTAAAATAGGAGGGATAAAACTAGCCAATCTTAGAGATGCATGCCTTAAAAAACACAAAGGGAAAGCATTATATAAAAATATTAAGCTTAATTAACAGAAAACGTAATTTGTTTTAAATCAAATTTACTAAAAATTGCACCCTTGCTAAGAAAAAGAGAATTCTTAAAGCGATCAACAATGTAATTTCATTAAATGTTTATCTCTGCAGTCAAAACGTCTTCCCACAATTAAAAAACATATTTTCCATATCCTGTATCTAAATGTATAAGAGATTAATTCAAAGTATTTTAAGCAGAGAGGGACAAAAATATCAATACTGTAAGCTCTTGTAGTGTAGTTATGTATTCTGCTTCCTGAAGTAAGACGGCCTACTTGGAAAAAGGAGAGTAAAAGGATTAAATGAAAGTAGTTCATCCTACTCAAAATTATGTAATACGTTTCTGGTGTATGGTTTCCTTGTGTACAGCTTAAAGATGTCTAAAATTAGGATCTATATAAGGCATAATACCTATTGATCTTTGGTTTTCTTAATTTATGGTTAACCATAAACCAAACCCTTGGATAAGGACAAAACACAAATCAACATATGAAAGCATGGTTTGAAGTATTATGGCAAATTAAATTCAGCAGCAGAGTTTCCCTGTGATTAGAAAGGAAGGTAGATTAACCCTCCCAAATTCAATCTTTTCTAATTTCCCCACTTTAAGAGGAACATTGTTCCCAAATGTCCACTCCAAAATTTAGAACACCAATGAAAATGTCATATACTTACAAAAGTATTTGCGCAGAATGATACACCCTCACATATACATGTGCACATAAATGCTAGACCACAATGTTTAGAACAGTGCACATAAAGTCTGGTTCCTGTTTCATCCCTCATCTGCTTTGGCTTTTTTTGATATATTTACGACACCTGCTAAAAAACCCATATGTTTCTGCTTTGCCCGTCTCTATAATTCTTTGAGACGTAAAAGAGAAAAATCACGAAGTAGTAAAACATCATTGTACTTTGGATGTATTGACCCCCTTTAAATAGGTAACTACCTGACCTAAATACAAAATAATATATTTTCTTCTTATCTTTTTTCAAAAGTGTCATTCATTCTCTAAAATATCAAATCTGTCAAAACTTCTCTACAAGAAAAAAGGATCCTAAAGATTGAAACAGAAAACTATTTGGAGCTTTGGTACTCTCATTCCCTTCATTTATGCATATATGCCATAAAACATCTAACAGTGTAAGGTGCAGAAGTTAGCTAGACGAACATATTGCAATAGCCACAAATATATTCTCTGAATTTAATCCATACACACAAAAGTAAGAATGTTAGGCTTGCTTCAACCCAAGTCTTCACCTCAGTACATGATACTTATTTTAATTTCTCCCATTTCCTTCTGATGCCCACTCTTCTCCAAATAATCATCACGTCGACCATTCCTCCTTCTTTTATACCACTGCAGTCCATGTCAAAGTACAGTATTTAGAAAGCTGCAATCCCATCCCAATGTTGCAACATCTCTGAATGGTAAAATTACATAAAATTAATTAAACGCATTGTAGAAGTACCATGCCAGCTTTGTTTACTTCATAGGATACTTTGAAAATGCACGGGAAAACTGGTTGTTCCAACGATGTTTTTATTATTGTTTTATCTTAACTAGATCGCATGTTAATCATATGTTAATGTATTAATCATATGCTGCTATTCTGAACTAACCTTCCCAAATGTTGGCTTGCATGCAAGTTGGAAGCTCTGGTTCATATATCTCGATTTTTGACAGATGAAAGAATGCTAAAATGTGCTCAGGATGATTTTTTAAAAAATGTAAGCATGCTATATATATGTAATGAAAATTCAACATCTAAGTGGTGATTTAGTACTACATCGAAATTTTATTGGAGCAAATTTAACTACGTATTCAATGCTCTGACACTCCCTTGGCCAATATTTATTAGATTCGTTATTGCAAAATTTAAATCCTTGATATTCCCAAACTGGTTTCAACTTAAGCTTAATTTGTAAAGTTGAAGACCTTTTTTCCCCCTTACAGCAAAATCAACTTGGGTGGCCACCAGGAGGAAATCAACACCTGAACTGGTTTAGCAGATAAGCTGAAAATCATGTAGCAATCTACGTAACTATGTAAAAGGCCTAGGAATTTTACCTATCTAGCCATGGGGATATTACTGAACTCAAACCAGTCAGCATGCAGTAGATAGATAACTTTACAGGCTGGATCTAAAACAGAATGCTGTGACACAGATAGTATAAAACCTGAGGACTGAACTATTCATGTGTTATTTTCACACATGGCAAATTTCAAGCAAGCAGTACTTTGCAACATGTAAATTAAGTGAATGATAACACACAGCTTGTAATATATTTTTTAAAATAATAGGCCTGTAATAGACGTTTTCTCTTCTTAGAATAAGAAAAGGATTTCATGTAGGAAGAAAGGAGCAGTGTTTCTCTTTCTTGAAGCCCTTCGGTTTCCAACACAGCTAAACAAGCACCAAATGTTGTATTTAATCACATTGTGCCGAGACTTTTTTTTTTTTTACATATTCCCAATCCTACTTTTTATTATTATTTGATTCAGGTTTCACATTTTCAGCTATTTGATCCAGTGATGGCTTGCTTAACTATGTCCTGTCAAACCACCTTAAAATTTAAGAGGTGATTAGATGCTTTACTGTAACAGATGTGCAGCCTTCTGGGGTTCTGTGCATTTCTTTTCCAAATGTAACATCATCTTGCAAAATCAGCAGGAATGATTAACTCAGTACAACCAAATTTAATAGCAACGACAAAGATTACTTACTACCACAACTCGCACTGCAGCTTTATACAAATGTTCTGAAAATGACTGTGAAAATCTGCTTATGCAAGTCTGAATGCTTCAAGGTACTGACATCAGTAATGTGCACTTAGTTGTTCAAAATCCATTTTAAAGAAACAAACTGTAACAATATATACTGGAACAATAAAAAAGTAGAATTTCCTACCCGTAAGAGGGACTGAGATTCATCTTTTGACTTGTTATCACCAGATCCAGGGTATGGCTGAGGGAGTGGTCCAGATTTCTCTCCGCCTCCTTGGGGTACCCCCTGCAGGAACCCCTTGGTCTCAACAGGCAAGCCATAAACAGGCCGTGCAAGATGTGCAGCTTCTACATTTGGACTATCCCTTAAGGGCTTTGGCTGCTCTTGGCCAACAGACACTGTGGTCAGAAGGCCCAAGCTTGTCTGGGTGTAGGATGGACTTCCCCTCAAAATGTCTACTCCTCTCCAAGGCGTGCTGCGAAGATCGTCACTGGACCCATCCGGCCAACATTTCTCTTTCAATGTGTCCTTCTCATCCAGCTTTTCCTTCTTCACTATGGTCTCAGAGACATGCTCCCCCATTTTTGGGTCAGCAATGATCAGGCTATAAACCTTCAGATCAATTTTGGGTTCTTCTTTGAGAGCAGCAGTCACCCCATGGCTATCTTCCCCATTGGCTGTGGTGGCCTCCATTTCTTGACAGTGCACAGTGTTGAAGTGCTCCAGTAAGGACTGAGTATCGGCAGCTGTGAAGCTGCATTGGCGGCATTTGTAACAGTTATGGACTCTCCTGGTAGAAGAGGGGAAAGAATAACAATATTATAATGATCTCACTCAGCTAGTCCAATGCAATCTTGTTTTCTAAAAACAATTAAACATTTTTAAAGGCGTATATACTTCTCCTTAGTCAATGGTCTTCAACCCTTCCATAACAAGCTTCAAAGAATATTTCCTATCCTGATCATGTCATAGGTTTTGTTTTATTTGATTTACTTTTTTTTTCTTTTCTCTGTACTTTCTTGTTTCTTTGTCCTGTTTATCATATGCCTCCCCTCTCGCTTATGTTTCCAAAAGCTGGTAAGAGCTATTTTTATTTGAGCACACCCACAAACAGATGTTGCCGGTCATGACTCTCTCAAAAGTGACAAATGTCCTAGTTTTTAGCTTTAAATATAAAATTATTTGCTTCATTCTTGCTTATTTCACAAAAGACATTCTGTCAAGTGTTTCCATGTCTGCTAGCATATTTTCTGACAAGCAGTATAAAAACCAAGAAGTTGTGTTTAAGCACTAAGTTTTAGGTCATCTTTCACCCACACATTTGAGACAGTTTAATTAATATTATACTTTTAAAATTACTTTCACAAAAATTACAAAATCTGACTTACACATCAGTCAACTTTTGTACCACATACACATTTATGGAATTAAGCATGAACAAATGAGTTAAAGGCTCCCACTTTTGAGAGAACTGAAAAGTTTAAATTTTCTGTCCTGCCTTGCATCAAGTATATTTTAGCACAAGTGAGTTTTTTTAGAAATAAAACATTATTATTATTATATTAAATATTTGCAAGCTTAATGTTATCAATAATTTTATTTCAATTATCGAATATGAATATACTTCCAAATGCAAAATCCAAAATTTCATGGAATTTTAAAAGATTTTTTAGTGTAATACATGCTTCTCAGGGACTAGTATTAAGTTTGTCCAACTGATTGCAACTTCCCAGGGAGCTTGTGCTCCTCTTTGTGCTGGTTATGGACCGTAATAAAGTTTTATATTGTATTGTATTGACTGCAACTGTTTTCTTTTTTCAAAACTCACAGCTGAAAGTCAGTGGCTTATGGATCAGCACTGATCCACAGACCACCAACTTGAGTGATGCCGCTCTACAAAATGTCAATTAGGTCAAAGATATGCAACTATATATTCTCTTCTATTTGCACCTTGTAATTAAATCTGATTTTCTAAAAAATCGGAAGTGTATTTGTAGGATAAGGTGTGTGTCTCTAGATAGAAAAGTATTAAAGTGTTGAATTTCACTGAGCATCACTGTTACAATACTACTGCCAAAACATAATCCTCTTTACTCCCTTTTTTTGGAGAATGGCAAACTTTTTGAGGTATCTTTTTTACTTTTGCAGATTTCTATTTTGATTAAGAGCAAATTGTTTATATGCGAAAACAGCATGTACAATCTTGCAAACAGCAGCATATGTTGAGAGAAAATATTGTAGAATAAAATTATATGAAACATTAAAATATGAACTGCATTATTTTGTAAAATTTGAATCCATCTACTGATATCTACTGAAAAAAGTTTATCTGACTTGTGACTCACATGCCATGAAAAACTAAGGAGCAACATGCACCTTCTTCTGCCTCTGGGGCTCCATCTACACCATCATATAATCCAGTTTCAGAATGCAGATAAACTGCATTGGACTGGATTATATGGCAGTGTAAACTGATATAATCCAGTTGAATGCAGTTCAATCTGCATTATGTAAGTCCACACTGACCATTATAAAGCAGTTCAAACTGGATTATATGGCAGTGTAAATGGGGCTTGGGGCATCCAATTGTTACATTCCCCGTGTTTTTTCATTGCTTCTCAAACTTCTCCTGTGTAATCGCAGACAAAGACACAATTTTCCCTTTCAATCTAGAATCTAGGATGAAAACTATTTTGAATGAATGCTCAACATTCAAACATAGGATTTGTTTACCAGGATGGGCAGATGCATTCATGACTGTTGCAAATCTTATTATTCCCTCGGACTGCATAACCCCCTTTAGGAACCAACCATAAGGTTTTATATACTATTTGGTATACTATATGGTGGGGGGGGGGGTGGCATAGGATGTCTAATAAATGATTCAGAGGAGACTTGTAATGCTTGCCAGCCAGTTTCAACACCACATTATCATGGACATCTGCAGACTTAAAATACAGGGATATGAGTTTTTCATCACCTAACCACCAGTTGTTGGCGGACATCCAATATCCATTCACTTTAAATATTCTCATGAGGAAATATACAGCAGCACTAAGCAACCCTCATACAGAATAGCAACATTGCACAACATGCCAATGACTGGGTGATGTTGTACAATGTCCATTGAATACCACTGATGTATGCACAGCTCCACTTTGGCCACTGTCTGCTGAATCAATCTGTTCCACTATAATAAATAATTCACCCCACTTGTATATGGCACCAATGGGATGATGGCCATTATGTGACACCACTATACTCAGCCAATCAAATGTTCATTATGTAATGCTTCATAATACAATACAGACTGAGCTGTAAATATGGCATTAATGATTTTCTATTTTTAATGAATTCCTAATTTCTATATTAATTTGAAAATTCATGAAGATATTGGTTATGCAACCTATTATACATAGCTAATTAATTTCAAGTTGGAAGGACTGCTCAGGGAAAAACTTTTTATAAGCATGACTTCACTTGAGTCTGGAATCACAATTTGCCTTTTGATGACACCTAAGGAGAAGTTATCTATCTGGCTCCTGCTAATTTAATGTATGCTTGTCTGCTTACGTAATTATGTGTTGAAATATTACCAAGCGACTTCCTATTTTGGGAAAAAGAAAGAGTTAAATTAAAGCAAATAATACTAATGCTAATGTCAATAATAACACTGCTAACATCAGCAAATTGATACTGCTAAAATAGGTCTTAAGAAGTAGTCGTGAAACATGCGGGCATTATTCAAAAGAATGAAACTTGTAAATACTAATACCACCTATTAACATAAGTAAAAATGGGATGCATAACAAGGCAAGTGGAAACTCATTCATTCCTTTTTTTTCTTGGATTTGTTTTAGAACCACAGAATTGAAATAGACCACATGGGGCACCCAGTCCAACCATGCAAGAAAAGCACATTCAAAGATATTACGGGAATAATATTTGTAATGTGTTTTCTTGAATGTTAATCAATACATTTGAGGATTGAAGCATTTGGGTTTAATGCTAAAATGTCAAAGATATTGTTGACCTTTGATATGTACATAATAAGCTTTCTAGGGAGCAGATACTGTCTAAAAAAAATTGTGTTGCCGCTTATAACTTTGCCCTGTTCAGCAATATATCATTCATTCAAAAATCAAAAACTTTAAAGGGTGCAGAGGGTCCTCTGAGAGAAATCTGTTTATTCCTAAGACATTTTGCTTTCTGCAGGAAACAAATCGTATTTGTTCATTTATGGACATTCTTATGATTTTAATAAGACTTAAAAAAAAAAAAAAAAAGACCAGTGTGCGTATCAAGTTTCTCATTCCATGAAAAATATGAAAAAGAAGGTGTGAAAGGAGGGGGGTGGTTTGGATCAATCATGAAATTCTCAACTAAGAAAGCCAAGAAAGTACCGAATATGCAGTCTCCAGTAAATTTAAGTGTCCCATATACCTTAGATCAACACACATGCCTATTTTCATTCAAGCACACCATGCAAAGTGCTGTATTACTGAACTATGTAAAACACATGTTCCCACATTGGAACAATATGTTGCCAATTTCCTGTGTATGCCATAGAAACAGAACACTTTTTATGAGCTAACATGATACTGTTTTATTAACATTACAGTAGCGCACAGACTTCCCAGTCAGGATCAGGACCCTGGTGTGCAAGGCTTCATAGTACATTGGAACAAGAAGGGGGGAAGCCCCTGTCCTTTCCCAATGCTAGTCTGCAAATTCTTATTCCAAAATTGATGCAGGGATGAGGCCATTCAAGAATGCCCTCTCAAAATTCTCTATTTTAGGGCAGAGAGAAGGGGAAAAGGAACGAATTTCATCAAGTTTCATCAAGAATAGAAATTTTTTTGACTTCCACTCAAAGGCAAGATATAGTTAAAGGTAGTACAGGTTGAGTATCCATTAACTTGAAATGCTTGGGATCAGAAATGTTTCGATTTCATATTTTTAAAAAGATTTTGTAATAACTATATTTGTCTGTATGTACCTAAAGAGATATATTGGAGATGGGAAGCAGATCAAAGCCTAACATTAATTTATGTTTCATACGCTCATTATGGACATCGGTTGAGATAATTCTATACAATAGTTTTAATACATCTGTGCATGAAGCAAAGGTTGGGTACACTGAATCACCAGAAAGCAAAGATGTCACTACATCTGCCACCAAAACGGACAGTTTCGGAATTTGGTGTATTTTGGAATTCTACGTGTAATAATAATGAGAGCCAGTGTTATGTAGTGGTTTGGGTATTGGACTAGGACTCTTTTGCATCCTTGTATCCTCTAAAATGCGATCACACTGAGTGTTGTTATAGGACGACAAACATTCTGGAGAAAATTCCACAAATACCTTGTCTTTCTGAGATGGTATGCAATAGAAAAATTTGAGAACAACTCTCTTAGAAAAACAAGTATTAGTACAGATTTTGTCTCTTCTTAGAAAACATTTCCTTGGGATCTGCCAGACCCTATATATCTCATTATGGAAGCAAGGTTTCTCTAATGCAAATGTTTATAATGCTAGTCATTTCTGGCAAGCTCTGCAATTGGAGGTGATGCTGTGTCCACTTCTGAGGGATAAGTAAATCTGTAATATAGATATAGAAAGATATATCCTTTCATTTCTGATCTGTTTTCCATCTTTCCCTTGAAGCTTCAATTTTTATGCTTCATATTTTAGAGTCTTCTTTTGTCCTAAGTTCTACTGGTAGTTTTCAGTTTGCCTTATTTTTCACTTTTTATTGCATACTTTTCCAGCCCTCCTGATTGCAAATACAGATATTAAAAAATGTACCCACACCCCAAACAGCCTGAACACTTCTGGCACAAGCATTTCAGATAAGAGACACTCAAACTGTTTGACTGTTGTTCCCAGTCCAGTCAATCAATGCAGGACACTTGATAAACATCATAATGACTGGGATCAAAAAGTGCAATACAACAGAGTAAGGCAGCAGATTTGGGATGTCATCAAAAGGCAGCAATTTATTAGATATTTCACTGCTTATTGCATTTTCCATTCTCCAGACAGATGAAGAGGATTTGTATGTTTTTTTCTTCTCATATGTCAAAATAACTTGGGCTGGGTTTGAGAAGTATGATCCTTAACATAATGAATAGGATCAGGTTTTACATAAGAAGTAAAATATCTTGGAGTGGGCCTAGACATGGGAAAGATTCTCAGTTTTGCTAGTTTTGTGTCAGATTTTAAAAGCTTCAGACTACAATTAAAGACCCAGAAACCAGTTGCAATGAAATTTGACTGAAATTGGTGGAAATGGCTCTTTAGCTAAATTACTCTCAATGAATGGGATTCAACAACACCAGGAGAGACAAAGCGAAACACTGTAAAACATATACAATGGTGAATTCAATTGTTGTTACTACATGGTAACTGAGGGCCCTTCCAGACTGGCCCGATATTCCAGGATCTGATCCCAGGTTTTCTGTTTTAAACTGGATTATATGAGTCCGCACTGCCAGATAATCTGGGAAAAACAGAAAACCTGGAATCACATCCTGGGATATAAGGCCTGTCTGGAAGGGCCCTGAGTATATGGTGTCAGCTTTAGGTTGTAATACTCTTACCATTATATATAGAAGAGGACATTTTCAACTAATGTTGCTTGGCACACAAGCGTAACTCAGGGCAATTCTCTCTTCTATACAATGACAGAAGGTACAAGAATTCTGCCCTATTTTGTCACTTGGTTACCCTACCTTAATATTAAATTTGAACACTCATCAGCCTCCATCACCATTGTTCACAGACGGAGTTTAAACTTTAGCCCACCAAGGAGTAAAATCCATTAAACTCAATGAAGCTCAGGAGAAAGTTTCATTTTGTCATTTTGTTAAAGAAAGAATTATTATTTGTAGTTCTTGGTTCAATCTTTTGATCAACTGCTTTTTTAAAAAGACATATCATATTTTTGCATATAATCTGTGATTTTTCTTTGTTTGCAAAGTAAGCCTAAAAGAAAGCCTTTCCTCCACAATATTAGAAAGCTCATTTTGACAAACTCTGAAAATTCCAGGTATAGTTTACACATTTGTATTAACAAAAAAAGATTATAAAGAAGATTCTGAGGTAATCCTGATATTTTAATCCTTTTTAAAAAATAAAATCCTCTAATAAGCTGTGTACGTGCATGCATGAACACACAGAGATTTTTTAAAAGTTACATCTTGAAAGAAAGATAAGCTGTAGAGAAAGGAACAAAAGGGGGAAAAAACATGGGGACAATTGTTACAGAACCGTCTAAAAAAGGAACATGTCATATGCTTTTAGGAGTAGAACATGTGGAAATATATATGGAGTAAATGCTGGTTTGTTGTGCCAGAAGGTTTGTAAAAGTCTTGCCAAGATTTTTTGAAGCTCAAGAGACTAATTTTAGGTTCTCCAAAACATATTTAGTCACCTAAATAAGTAGTGTGATTTTTTTTCCAGCGATATTATATACCATTGACGTCAACGGGATAGATATGACGCTTAGTACTTTTGAAAACTAGACCAATAACCAAAAAGTCTAAATCTGAACTACACAGTCTAAAATTCCACTCGAGAGAATAAAAAAAAACGATTATCTTTTGCTAGGAAGAGCCATCTTATTTTAAACCCATGAAAACATCAACTAAATTGCTCTCAACATGGAAATATTCTCTTGAGAGATTTTAAATCTAACAACAGCTACTGAAAGCATGGTCAAAGTGCAGCATGTTTAAAATTCCCAATATGGCCCAGAGCAGCCCTAATAAAAATGAATTATAATACCACCTAAGACATAGAAACTACTTTTCATCTTCAAAGCTGTTTACAATAATTGACTAATTAATCCTAACAACACCCTTACAGCCCACTTGGATCAAAAGGGGGAGGGGGAAATTTCTTGCTGGAGCTTGTAGCTTGTGTGTGACACAGATGTTAGTTAAACATGAGCAATAGGCGCCATGATTTTATGGGCTCCTCAGATCTAGTCAATACAGCTGACTGTTGAGCAATGTCCAGGTGCTTTCCACTTTCATCTCAAAGGAATGTCTTCTAGTAGAGGCCCTGCCCTATTTATTCCTTACGATAAAGGCACCAGGTCCTTGGAAGCTATGCAGGGCCAGTCCTGGTTTGAATCTGAATGGACAATGGTGCAATGGCAACCCTTGTTTCATTCCACAATGTGTTCTGGGCTGAATGAAGTATTACAATGTTGGTAGTTTGGTTTTGTGTTACTGTTTTTGGACTACAGCTTCTAGTGTATTTTCTAGGGTTTTTTGGTTTTGCTGAGTTGAATTTCTTACTTGTTTTAGATTTGTTGTGTTTATCAATTCCTTTCCAAATAAAAAGCAAGGTTCAGAGAGTAAAAAGGACACTGTAGAAGTAAAATATGGGGTTATCTCCTTTACTCCTCAAAGGGGAGCTGCTCCAAAGATTCAAAGGTCCTGGATGTACTCTGGCAAATGTATCAATTAAAGTCTGGCCCCAGCCGAATGTCTCCTAACAATTGATTCCAGAGGTTTCTCGATTACAACTATCATCACTGACCGTTAGCCATACTGACTGATATGATGCAATTTGATACCTATCCTAAACTATCTGGATATTTAATGTTGGGAACAACTGTATTATTTTTTCATTATAAGCAACTATCTATAGGTTGAGAGAACTACTCCCCACTGTGACAACCAGAAAGCTGTATCAGTTTTTCTTTATTTATACACATTCAGAATCCATCGTTCAGTGGTAGAACACATGCTTTGCATGCAAGAGATTTCAAATTTAGCATCTAGCATCTCAAATTAGAAGGCTCTCAGGTAGCTCGGCTAGGGAAAATCCTCATCTGAAACTGTGGTGCTCCTTTCATTCGGACAAAATGAAATAAATCTCACATATTAATGCTCTGAATCTGTAGCCATGTTCACTATTGAAAGATAACACAGGAGTATTGAGTATCTAGCTCTATTGTGTACATAGGAGCAATATAGGCATGTTTTGGTCCTCTGTGACAGTCAAACAGTTAAGCAAAATAGAATTAGCAGGCTTCCCAAATTGGAGGTCATGAATTGTTGGCCCTTTTCATAAGTCAGAATTACAAAGAAGGGCCCTGACATTACAAAACCTAAACTATTTGGAATTGGCAACCAAGATCACCAGTTATGGCAATATGCTAAACAGCCTGTATTCCTTCATTTGCAGATCACGTTAGAAGGGAGAGGCAAAATAAGGCAAATGAATTTTGAATGTACAGTTATTTCTTGCCAGGGTATGGGGAAGAAAATATTTGTCCATTAGCACAAAATGTATGTACAATTGTGGGAAAGAAATTTTAGAGTAATAGACCGAAATGCATTGGCATATGCTCTCTCCCATCACAAGCAATCAGATTTTAGCACTTCTAATCTCAGATGGATCATGGCCAATCCTTATGTCACTGGAATATCTTTGATATTTCGGCTACAGTGGCTTTATTATTACTTTGGGTTTTTTTAAAACTGAATGTGGAATTAAGAGGTGTAATTACTAAGAGTAGCTAGTCTGGAAAATATGATGCTTTCCAGAAGTTAAAGATTGGATTCAAACCCACCTTATTAAAATTTTAAAAAGTGTCCAAATTAATAAATCTACAACTTTTTGAGTATCCTGTATCCAAAATGTTTGGGACCAGGAAGGTTTGAATTTAGGAATTTTGGATAAAAGATGCTCAATCTATATCTTAACAAGTAACAATATTCTCCAGAGGAATATGTGGAAATAACCACAGAATTCTGATTTTCATACAATAACTGTAGAATTGAACTGTTTCTAATGTTCATTTAAGTTTTACTGTAACCCTTTAAAATATGATGTGTCTTATTTCGTTTGTGGTCTGATGCAAACAATGATGTTTCTAGGAGTCTTCGCAAGTAGCACAGAGCAAAGGTGTGCTATTCGGATGTTTCTGGACCACAACATCCAACCTTACCACTGGCTAACCTTTGGAGGATGAATGGAAAGCATATATACACCATTATTAGAACCAAAATATTTCCCCGTTCACAGAATAAGGAAGGATCTAGTTCAGCTATACATTAAAGGCAGAGAGGCAGATACCACCCAGGGGCTGCTATGTTATTCTTGTTAGATATTAAACCTAGTCTGAAACCCCAATATGACCTCTGTGACCCCCATTCCTACATCTGAGTGTTTTATTCTGCCACCACCACCACCAGAAATATTCCTGACTTGGATGGGATATGAATGGGATGGTATCCCCTACTACAGTGGTTCTCAACCTGTGGGTCCCCAGGTGTTTTGGTCTACAACTCCCAGAAATCCCAGCCAGTATACCAGCTGTTAGGATTTCTGGGAGTTGAAGGCCAAAACATCTGGGGACCCACAGATTGAGAACCACTGCCCTACTACATTATCTGTTCCCTCACCACTACTTTATCTTCTTGTTCCTGTATCACATAAATTAGATGTTTTTGGGTGTTCAGCATTTAAACACAAATTACACAATATACTACTCCAAAGTTGTTTGCAAGTAAAATGTGTACACATGTACAAACCCACAGTCAGTCTCGTTTTTTATTTTTATTTTACCTGTAGTGTCGGGAAATCTCCTCTTCAACCTGAGTGACAAAGTCACATTTGGTACATGAGTGTTCTTTGCTTTCTTGGACAGTCAGCGGTCCATCCCCCCCTTGCAGGGCATTTGCTTCTTGCTTGACTTCAGACACCTGGGCTTCATGTGTGGTTTCATAGTGAAGCAGGAGAATGTCTACATCGGGGGTGGAGAAAGAGCACTGGTGACACTGGTGCTTGACTCTGGAGCCTCCTGGCATTCCAGGGGACAAGTGCAAAAGCAAGAGAGCACAGTGGGAACAATTACTTTTCCTGCAAGCAAAAGGATAAGTAATTTCTCCAAGGTGCTTTTCTGGACTACAGAGGCCTCGAGGACAAAACTGACAGTGCTTAATGGTACACTTGTGAATGTTGTGTAGCTGCTGATAATGGCGAAGAAGAGGCCCCACCACTATTATATCTGGGCCATGGCTCTTAGAGTACCTAAAATCACAAAACTGACAATTGTAGCTTGTCACCACGTTGTCCTCCACTCCTGAGCTGGAAAAGTCTTTCTTTCTGGCCATGCTAGTGCCCTTCTCAGTCTTTGCTGCTAACTCTCCATCTGCATTTTTGGCTAAGTCATTATGATTAATGACTGACCCCCTTGGGAGCTTGTCACTCCGATCTGGGTGAAGGCCCCCTGCCTGGCTCCCCCCATGATGCTTGCTGTAATGTTCTAACAGTTTGAGTGAGCTGGATGATTCACAACTAAAGCTGCAGAATTTGCACCAGTAGTAACTGGAGACATCCGTACCGTTTTGCCTTGAGGATTCAAGAGGCTTGATGGGCACCGAATAACCAACCGGAGTGTCATCTCCAGCTTTTACGGTGATCTTGTCCTGCCATTTCCCCAAATCTCCAGTCTCACTAGATCGAACAGTAGGGCTGGACTTGCTCGAGTTCCTCTCTGAAGGTTTACTGGTTTCAGAGGCAGGAAGAGTGGATTTTATCTTGTTTGGATGGGTCTGCAAGAAGTGTTGCTCCAGCTCTGTTGATGAATTGCCCATGTAGGTAAAGTTGCAGAACTTGCAGCGGAAATACTTGGTGTTGCCCTGGCAATCTGGAGTTTTGCGTCCAATGCCAATAAAAGTCCCACCTAAAGTCACCTACAGGAGATGAAAGGCAGAATGTTAACCACTAAGAAGTCTGTGTTTCCTATAAAAGGAACAAAACAAAAGCCATAAAGAGACTATTAATGGATTGCCACTGTATAACAATTTGCTGTGAAACAGAACAGTTATTCAGTCATTCCCAAAATACATCCTTGTCACTTAATACACTATGCTTAGGAGACAACATTTTATGGGGGAAGAGTATTTCTGCAAACAAAATAATGGCAGGAATATTCCACTTCTCGTGGCTGTCCCAGTATGAATGCTCAAGCTAGTAAGATAAAACATGAAAAGAATGGCAGTTGGATACAGATAGGTAATTTGTTTTAGCTCCTTTGTTCTCATCAACTTGATTAACTCTAGTATCTAGAGAAGCAGAGTATGCATAGATAAACTGGAGAATGAAGAAAACCTTTCCAGATGACATTTAAAAAGCCCTATGAGAAGAAATCAGTATGATCAGGAGCTTTAGCATCACCTGCAGTAGAGAGAGTAAAATGATTCATTGAAATAGAAGTCCCATATCTCAATTGCTGCACAAATAAACTATGTCAGTTTACAGAAAGGACAGCATAGACTTGATGACTTCCTTGCTGTTTACCTTGGCTTTCCTATGAACACTACGAAGCAGAACAAGGCCTATCTGGTCCAATAATCTGTTTGAACAGTGGCCAACCAATTGCTTGTGCAAGAAATGTTGTCAGCACTGAGCTGCCCACTCAACTGGCTGCAACCCTTATGTTGGACAGGACTTTAGAGACAGACAAACTCAAAATCAAAAGGTTTTTTCCATGTCATGATGGAAATATGTTTTGCTTGTTGACTGCTGATCTAATTTCTCCATTTTCTCTCGAACACATAAATGCCAAAGATGTACCTTGAACCAAATCACTCTGGTAATAAGACGTACCCTGGTAAAAACTAACTCCAGCCTACTGGTTGTTAAGTGAAACAGAGTAAAACTAATTTTAGTCCCCAGAAAATGCCACACTGTGGGTATTAAAGTGCTAAGGTTTGCATACGTAGATGTCCCTTAAGGAAGATCTGTAATTTAGCAAAATATAGAAAAACCACAATAGCAAGGGACAGAGAACACATGTCAGGCCCAGAACACATTACATCACTAGGAATGTATCGCTTAACAAGTCTTATGATCTGATGAAAACATCTCACAGAAGGGCAGAAGGGCAAATGTACGTTAATAAAATCTTTTGCTTTCAGAAAAAAAATTGTTTGACGCTTTCCACAAGTGCACGGCACTTGCCTTATGACACTAAAACAACACTTGTTGCTCCTGGACATCTGCAGCTGCAATCCTCTCATATCTATTACCCAGAAAATTCTATTCTCATCTATTGGACAACACTCACTGCAGGATTATAGATTAGTTTGTAAGCCACAGCAGAAGGCGGGGATGGTAAAGGAGTGTGAATGGAAAATGAAGAGGTGGAAACAATCTTCATAATTATAACGTCACTGTTGCTTTATTTCTTGCACTGAGGCAATGGAAAAGTGCATGGTGTCCATTTTTCAAAACTAATCCTTCAGAAATCCTAGATCCTCATCACAATCCACTCACTGGCTTCTCCAGATTTCTACTAGAGCAATAGACTCCTAAAAGATAGACCAGGTTTCAGCAACTGCACCTCTTGGGGACTTTTATTCCTTACTGAAAGACCATACATCTTCTACATGATGGAACAGATATTAATTCCCCCCTCCTCCCAAACCGCAATATAACTTTGTACTATTCTGGGTGATTCTCTCTTAATATTTTCAGCACATAAAGTTATAACTATCCTTCCTGTCCTGTGCCAGAAAGCATGAGATCTCTCTTAATTTCAGAACTATAACATACGGAAAAAATGAGATATAGAAAAAATATGCAGTTTAGACACTGTAAAATGCATATGATATAATATATTATTTATTTATTTGTAGTATTTTTATACCACCCTTCTCAATCCCAATGAGGACTCAGGGCGGTTCACAGTGCCTTTGAGTCATTTAGCTGTCCAAATGACAACACTTATTGTTCTTACACTACACTACAAAACTAATCAAGGGCTGTATAGTGAGCAAATAAATTGTTAAATGGCATTACAAATAGTTTATTTTGGCCCTTCCTGTTTAAGTAAACACATTTTTAAAAAAAAACAGTTAAGAGAGTTTTCCATTGTGAAGTTAATAAAAAATAACAGCCAAGAGGAGTCAGTAGGGATGGAATGAACCAGATTTCTGAGGAGCTTGAACTCTTTAACAGTAGAATTTGTCACCATGAGATTTAAATAATTCCTGTTAGTTAAAAGTGTAAAAGTCTCTCTCCAAAAATTATTTTTAAAAACTCTGACTTTAGGTGCTACACAACAGAAGATAGAGATCCTAGGGTTAGATCCTGACACTCTTTAGTGAGAGCACTAGTTAGGTAAAAGAAGAGTAGTTTCCTTATTATATTCCCACAACAGCCAGGAATCCTTCATGTCCTAGAAATGAATTCACCCAGAAAAAATGCATATCCTCCAATATTTCACAGATATTGCCAAGCAAAATCAGCATGTGGTCAAGGTGGCAAAAAGGCTGTGAATAAGAAAGAAAACACAAGGCAGCAGGCTACTGTAGTTTGCCTTTGCCTTTACCTGTAAGACAAAAAAATATTTTCTTCTCCTCTCCTCGCATTGAGCTGACTAATTTTTAAAACTTAGAATTCATTAGGTTCTTGTAGGTTTTTTCGGGCTATAGGGCCATGTTCTAGAGGCATTTCTCCTGACGTTTCGCCTGCATCTATGCAGGCGGAACGTCAGGAGAAATGCCTCTAGAACATGGCCCTATAGCCCGAAAAAACCTACAAGAACCTAGTGATTCCAGCCATGAAAGCCTTCGACAATACATTATAATTCATTTTTCAATAATTGGGATAATCTAAGTCCAAAACATGAAAGTGGGTGGAAAACAAACTGGGACATTTTAAAAGTAGCTGAATTGTGGTTTGGCAGAGAACAAATTGGGGGCTCTTCCTGCAAAACTGGAATATAATAAATAGTAATAAAACTTTATTTATATTCCACCACCATCTCCCCAAGGGGACTCCGGACGGCTTACATGAGGCCAAGCCCAACAAAAATACATCAGAAAAACAAAGCAAGCAAGCAAGTAAAACACAATACAAATATTATAAATAACATATAAGCAGTAACACACAAGAGATTTAAAAACACAGTGGGCAGGGCCAGATGTAGTAGATCAAAAAAAAAATTTTTAAACACTGGCCATGAACAGAAGTAGGGTATGTCTAAACAGGGGTTTTTAGAGGGTAATGTAGGGAGATCAATCCAATGGGTAAAGTGCTTCAGAGGACATACTGCAGAAAATTGGCCAGATCAGGGCATTGTTTCCTTTATTCAGGGAAGGCACACTGGAACAGCCACATTTTCAAGTTCCTCCTAAAGACTGCCAATGTGGGGGCTTGTCTGATATCCTTGGGGAGTTCCAGAGTCGGGGGGCCACCATAGAGAAGGCCCTCTCCCCAGTTGGAAGATCTGGGATTAACACAACTGACTGATACTCCCATATCTGCTCCCTCCCAACTGCCCACAATTTCTTCACCAAGCGGCTTGCACCTCTTAGACATGCTTGCTCACACTAGATGGGCAGGTAATATAGGATGGTAATATAATAGGTGATGGATCTACAGGGAGGGAGGTGTAGATGGCATATTGCCATATACACATAACAAATTGGAGCTAATAATGATATTGCTTCAGTAGAAATTTTAAAAATGCAAAAATAAATCTGCTACTCTATTTTTACTCTGAACTGAATGTCTAATATAGTATATCATAGTGGTTCCTCCTGATGTTTTGGAGCATGCCCAATGGTCAAAATTTATGAGAACTGTGCCTCATATCATCCCAATCCTAGAAGAAAGGTGAATATAAATCAATCAAGTAAACATTTGAAGGGGCAACAAGTTGCCAACTTCTGTCTTAAGGTGAATAAGCTTACTTGTCCGAACATATCTCCTTCTACGTTCCACCTTGTAGTTTAAGATCAACTGGTCCCACCAGCTTTGCAAACATGTCTGGTGGGGACAAGGGACAGGGCCTTCTCGGTAGTGACCCCCCACCTGTGGAATTCGCTCCCCAGCGAGGTCAGGTCGGTTTCTTCCTTCCTTTCCTTTAGGAAAAAACTGAAATCATGGTTTTGGAACCAGGCCTTTGGCTAGAGGCATGATAGCACTTTGGACATCGAACTGGACTATATGACAATGATAATAATGGAAATGACTATATGACTGTGATAATAATGTTTAATTGTTTTTAATCTATTGTTCTATTTATTGTTTTATATTGCTATTATTTGTTATGTTTGCGGCATCGAATTGTTGCCAGTGTAAGCTGTTCTGAGTCCCCGTCCCCCCACCCCCCGGGGAGGTGGTTTTGAGATGAGCGGGGTAGAAATAAATAAGAAATTAGCTGAAATTACGATTGTAGATGGCATGGTTTTAAAAATAGATGTAATGTTTTCACATGTTTTAATGCGGATTAATTTGCATTTTAATTTAAATGCTTATTTTAATTATATGTTGTTTTTAAAGCATCTAATAGCTGCCTATGTGTAAAGCCACCTTGAGTCCTCTTCAGGGTTGAAAAGGGTGGTGTATAAATATGTTAAATAAAAAATAGCTGTTTTTATGGTGCTCTGTAATCCTGTAAAATGGGCCACTTCTTTAACCCACTTTCAGAATAAATGTATAGTACAGAGATATGCAACTCTTCCACCTCACCAACAGTTCCAAGTGAGAAGAGGGAGGAGATAGTTACAAGGGTCAAAGTACATGAAGATTGAACCATACCCCCACCCCTATTTTTCAACTGCCTTCTGAACATAGCTTGGGAGAGATTCCACTGGCACCAATAACGACCTTCTTCCTCCCCAGGAAATCTAACTCCATGGAAGGGAAGGCAGTGTCACAGCTAGACAGATAATACCATTGC